CGCATAAAGATAATTAGACAAGCAAGCCAGTAAAATGCTTTTTTCTCTTAAATATTGATGAAAAGCTAACATAAAATATCTTAACATAGAATGCAGATGTGGAGTTTAAAACTTATTTAGACAGTCGACTGGAGTTCGATGTAAAATAATAAATAAAAATAGCTTGACTATTTGAATTACTTTGTTAAACTGCTAAAAGATGAAACCATCCACTCAAGCCTAATACTTTTGTAACTCTCTCTTTTCAAATTTAAGACTGTTTGTGAAGAGGTCAATTCTAATAACAAGATTTCCATTACCTCCAATTTTGTCAAGCGCGGCGTTTTAAATGCAAGAAAATTTATTTTGGATTAGTGCATAAAGAATCAAAAATTTCTGCTTCATGAATCCCCAGCCACATTTCGACTACCATAATTCAGTTGGATTAAAAAAAAAATAAAAATAAACCCATACGCTTCTCTCAACCCGAACGGAATCCTAACGTTTTCGCGTAAGCGAACAAATTATCATTAAAAAATTAATTTAAACACAGCTTTTCTGAACATTCCACGTTCAAACAAATCAGGCACAAAACAATATTCAGAGAGTATCAGAAATGCTAATTGTCGAGCAGTAGCTCGAAAACAGGCAAGCTGGCTTGCCTCTATTCGATAAACGTAATTGTCACTAAAAACTCTTTACCTATTTGTAGTAACGCTATTTGGTGCCATATCCGAATCCAACTTTTCCAACAGAAGGAAAAGTAACATTACATTTTGGTAGTGCAAGCTTCAAATGGCGAGATGCAGCTACTGGATTAGAAATGTAAGGTAAGAAGTACATATGAATCCTGCGAAGTTTTTTCATCCTGACTATCCAATATATTGAAACGTCACTGACGCACGGGTTCATCACTATCTCCTTTAAAAAACCTCACAAATTTTTGTAGAAAAAGTAATGGAGAACAAAGGCACAAGTCATAATTTTTAAGTGACTAAGCAATGCATCTTCAAGAGTTGCTACTGACCTTTTCTTCAAAAACAACCTTGGAAAACAGCGTCAGGAAAAGAAAAAAAAGCTGAAGATTTTGAGGAAATGCTGCTCTTCTAATAAAATCTGTTTTATTACCAGAAAACTGTGAATTAGAGAAAACAGCCCTATTTTAAAATTTTGAATAAGTTTCATTTAGTTAATTTAATAATTTTTCACCAATTTATCGGAGAAACTGTTAATTAGCAGGATTATAAAAATCCGTAACACTTTCCAAAAACGCATCAGGATAAAGTAATCGGCGTTTTAGTTTTTAAACTTTTCTATAATATAGAAGACAACAGGCTGGACTTGTCGGGAAAAGAACCACGATAGCGCAGGTAAACTGGCGCTCAAAATATACGAATTTTATCTAAGTAAGTCTCACCAAGTTTTTCAAGGAGTAAGCTGTACGGCCTGTTGCTAAGATCCTAATGGCTTCATCTCCAAAATAATCACAGAAGTTCAAAATCAACTCTTCGATTCCATAACATTCACGGAAATAAAGGAATCCTGAATCGGAGATTGCTGAATCGCTTGCATCAACCTAAAATACGTGGCATATAAATGAAAAACCAAGTTACAAACCTCTTGCTAAAAAAAAAACTTGCTAAACCAACTAGTCAATATTCAAAAATTTGTCAAATAGGTGACAAAAAGAGCAGTCAGCGAAATAATTAGTTCAAAAAAAAAGTCCATGAAAACAAATTGGTCTTACTTTTACTATATGCGTTTTTGGTACAGAAGACCACCTTTCAGCGTAAGCTACATCGCTTTTCAGCTCATCCATAGAACACACCGAAAAATCCTTCAACGATTTTGGCTACAATAAGGTTTGTTTTTAGTAATGAAGTTACATCCTAACTTTAAGAATTAGTGACAGTCAATTTCTTAACTCCGACTCTTCTGTTGAAACGATCATTCAAATGAGATTAAATTAAAGTAATACAAATAGCACCAAATCCCTACCGTCTCGCGACCATTCAAACCGAAATTTTTTATATATGACTTCATTTCTGATATGCGTTTGATTACAGTCCCATCGCTCATTTCAACCTGAATAAGATTTAATGGAGCTTGCTAGTAATACTAAAAAGGAATTCCAAGAAAACCGACACTGTGGCTCAATAATTGGTTACTTTTCCGTTTCCAATATGAAAAGTTGATTATTCTTGCTGGCCATGAAAACATCCAATATTTTATCATGTTCTGCCCAGTTCTTATTTCTCTGTTTGTCCCTCGGTACTGTTTGGCAGGATAAACAAAAACCAAAATTCCTTACGATGTTCTTATAAAATAAGTGAAATTCTAGCGATTACTTAAACAGCATAAAATGTTCGAAAAAATTTTTAATTAATCAGTAAAAAACGCTAGCTGGGAATAAGTTTAGAACCTACTTGACAAAAGAGTTGACTTAAGCTTGCTGCTAGAAGCATTTTACTGATGACGCTATTTCTAAACGACGCCTATCAAGAAGTCCAAGATCAAAAAAGAATTATAACACTTTTAGAAAATAAAAAAGTATTTTACCTTTGTAGCTCCACACTCCATAAGCCATTCTAGGCAAGCTAAATCAGGCCCAAGTGTCGCGACTCTTTCGAAATTAAACCTTAAAATTTTCTATTACTCAGCCGTCCCATCTAGCCCATTATAGCTTCAGTAAATGCATTATACAAATTAACCTATTTGAAATAAACTCAGCTAAAACACTCCGAATGCTCCTGAAAAAGCGTTTCTCCTGTCGAATACGCGCCGGAGCTGGTGATATTAAGCGCTTTACAGAGGTACTAGCCAATAACATAGTGCCGACCAGTGTTAGTTTAGGACACAAAGCCACATCAAAATATTTAACTAATAAACAACAACGAAGGTCATGAGGTCAAAGGCAAACTTTGAATTCTGAAATAAAAGCCGAAGATTAGAAATGTTACGAAATAAATTACTGCCTAATACTGACTTTAATTGCAGGATTTAAAATATTACGACGGTAGATGATTTTTGCCTGAATTTATTGTACCAGAAGAGTTTTGAAGACCACTTTTACAAACTACATCCGAAGTCCATGTTTTTGGATCTGAAGCATCAAAACAAGCAAAATCATCGCTCTCTCGTTATTAAAACCTATAGTGCTAACTTACAGAGAAGGAATATCGGTTTGATCTACCATCATCCATTCCTAATTAAAGCATAGAAGCTTTCGCGATAGATTCACACACACACGTATTTGTTCAGAACGCAGATGTTAATTCCGCATCGACAAATGGTAAGGTTGTCTAACAACACTCTCTTCCCACGGAGCAAGCTAAGGGAAAACGGATATTCTTCTGGAGTAAGAGACACAGTGGTCAAAACTGGCCCCAAGAGTAGTTGGTAGATTTAACTCAACTTGGAGCTTTAGGCTAAATCGTTTGAACACACTGTCAACAGCAGTTTAATTTACACCTTTTGGTGTGAGGCCAGTATCAGGAAATCAAAAACAGCTCCTTACGCCTTCCCGCAAAAGATATTTGACAGATCCCCCTACAAATTTTTCATTCTCATAGAAACTCATCAATGCGTGCCGATGTAGCGCAACAAAGGATTTAATTCTAAAACCTCGGCAGATGGCTAAAGCAAAGTTTTGAAGTCAAAAACCTGCATTAAGAAAGCAAACAAAAAAAAGACCCTAAGGAAACTACCATATACTGCAACAGGTTTAAAAAATTTATTCACACAACATAGACTACCGAAACCACCACTTACAAGAACAACTTTTGTGACATGAGTTTACGTCGTCGATACGACAGGTAATAAACAACCAGACAGTTTTTAGGTTTCCTAAACAGTGAGGTCGTTTATGAAAGGGAATTCAAGAAAGAAAAAAAAAAGAAAATCTTTTAACTCCTAAACTTTTATAAAACCATCCACCTTCTTGCTAGATTTATAGTACAAACGCATAAAAATAAATGACAGAAGCAACTTTTTTAATACCTGTAACAAGTGCTGCGCTTTACCCTTCTTCCCCGTCTTTCACTGAAATCCTGCAAATGACAGAAACCGGCAAAAATGAAAGCTTTTGAGAAATCGATCTGCGCAATAACATAAAAAGACCATACCAAATAAATATTTTCAGCCGTAGCGAAAATTTCAGCCACCCAGTGTTAACTCAAAACTGTCAACCAGCTTCAAGGAATACTAGCTGAATCAATATAGTACTAGCATCATTTCTTCCCGTTTATGTAAATTTACCTAAAAATCTTCATTGTACTTTCAATTATTAAACGCCCTTTCAGTCGCTCGATACAAAAACCAATCAGAAGTGTAGATTTCTGCAATATTTGTGAGCCTCAACTTTGCGCTACCAAATAAGCATTGAGAGGGAGAAAGCTTCAACTATTTCCATCTTTGCAGCATTAACAATTTCCAAAGACACCTGCAAGTGCGAGTAAGATGGGAATAAATGAATCAATGACAGTTAAAAGCAATTTTATTTCCGCTAAAAAGCGAAGCTTTTGATACTACAGTTTGTAACTGCAGTAGTCTCAGAAGCAGAAACTCGAAAAAAAAAGCTTCGCGTTTTTGTGCAAATAAAAATTTCTTAGACCTCTCTGCTGCCATAATCGTCACTTAGAACAACTATCAAAAGTAAATTCGTATAAAAGCTTTAAAAAAAATCAAATGACCATTTAACCACAAGAAATAGTGTAAGTCAAAGAAAAGTTCAAGAAGTTTACTGCCTTCAGTACCTTGCCTTCAGTATTTAAAATTCAGATAACAACAATAATCTTGAGAGTTATACAACAACACTTACTACCAATTAGCCTTAAAAACTGTAGCCTAGTCTCAATATAAAAAAAAAGAAATTATCATGAATAAAACGTTCACGACTTTATTAAGAGGTAAAATTAATGTACACGACCGTACAAGAACAATTAGCACCCCAGTGTTAAAAATAACAAATTAGCAATAGAAGAATTTTTACAATAAACTGCTCCACCAGTTTATACAAAGAAAAACAAAAGTTTTTAAAGTCGCACCCGATTTCAACAAGTATTTCTTCAAGCAGCTGTAGCATTAAAACCAATCTGATAGAACAATTGTACCAGGTTATTATTCTTCCTTCCCTTTTTTCAACACTGGCTCAAAAACTTCACGTTTTTCAGGCAATTGAGTAGTAACAGAAAATTCCCGTTTTTGAGTCGCAGCTTTCTGAGCGTTTCCAGCAAAATCTGTATTGCAGTGAACGATATTTGCGACAGCTACCGTTCCTCTTGATTCACCATCTCTCAATTGGTCTGTAAGACCTGTACGAAAAATTTAACAGTCATGACTACCATAAGAAAAAGAAATAATTTTGCTTGTAATTTAAGCTTTAATTGCCTTGTTTCAAGCTACATAGAAATTTCTTTAAATAAACAATATAAAACAAGAGGCCTCACCAAGAAGCAATTTGAGGGGCAACTCAAAGGAGACACAAAGCATCCACTTACGAGCAGCAACTCGCCGTACAAATTGGATATTGTGTATTTCAAAATCGTCGACTCTAAATGAAACACTGTTAAGCTAGAATAATGATACTCTGTCACTAATTATAAACAGCAAAAAATGTGACTGTAATTGCGTTTTATAACAAAAATAAGTAGAACGTTGTACACTTACTGAGTTTTATAAAGTGTATGGGATTTATATAAAATTCACAAGTCCAAACAAATGGAACTATTATACAGCAAAAGGACGAAATAAAAAACTAACCCTATTTTTTCCCTTACCAGTGATACTCCTTTTTCAGCATACCACTGATTTGGAAAGTCGTTATCAGCTTTAACAAAAAAGTGACAATGAATCACTATTGGGAATGAACATTTTGCTGAAACTGAGCTGTAAGATGGCTACAAACCATCAAAAAGCAGTTCTACAACTGAGGTATTAAACAAATTTTGGTACTACCACTGAAAACTTTTCTACGACAAATCTGCTGTAGAAAGCTATATGAGTCAATCCTTTTGCAATAACAGTGGTGACAAAAAAAGTCTGTTCTTTACTTACCCATTTTTTCAGGTAAATCTGGAGCAAAAATGTTGAAAGTAATTAAGATTTCAAGAACAGGTGTTAATTATGTTTACCTTGCTGTCTTTTAACCGTTTCCTTCTGAGCTAAAAGCGATCGAAAATGTGGCAGAAAATCTAAAGACTTCGCTGGGAGATTCATCAATATATGCACCTTTGAAACATCCAAACCATGCTCTAAAAATTTTTAAGAATGATTTTACTTCTACAGTTTTAAGAAAAATATTAGTGATTTAATTCATAAAGTATTAACCAGGCTCTAAAAAACCACCTGTATCTGAAAATTCCTCAGAATTTTTACTACAGTTTTTTCACAACCAAGGGCTACATTCTTTCTTTTCAGCGTAGATTGGCTTAATGCATCCTCTGTCAAAAAACCTCTCTTGCTAATTCAGGCCGACCTCTTAAAGCTACCAAAGCAAAATTATGCTCGCTGACACGGGAAAAAAATGTGGTCAGTCAGCTAATTGTATTACTATCCTGACACACATAATTCACCAGTTCTGTGTTACAGCCTTATTAATCCCTTCATTACTTTCAGTAAGTAGCCAGTCACAGTGGAACTGTAATGACATCCCAACCGTTCATTTTAAAGGGATAATGACTCATTAAGCCCACAAAACAAGTGACAACACAGAACCACAATATCTTCTATCTATAAATTGAAAACAAACCATTATTTCTGAAATACGGGTATTTTTCACTACAATAAATACTAAAGGGAAAACCAGCTCCAGGTCTCGTTATAAATCTGCTGGAAAAAGGTCCCTTGAGAAGCTCAAAACAGAACAGACTTTTAGAAGAACTAAATAGGTATTGTTACGTTAAAAACTTATACGATAGGTCCTATCTAATTGTAATAGCGAACAACAACTTATTAGCATCCAAAAGTTCATCGAAAGCTGTTGAGTAGGCTAATTAATGGCTGTGAATTCTATGACAATTGTGGCAATTTAGCCAACGATTCCAAACCTGATTTTAACGACTGCAGTTATAAGACCACCTGGTAAATAACAATGTGATCTTTCATTTCCAAAATCTACTACTACCAGATTAATGTAGTCATCGTGTTGCAGTACACCGTGAAAGTTGATAGAGTTTCAAGGATCCTGCCTCTCACTGATGTCAATGCAGCTAATGTTCTCCAACGATTAAAGAAAAAAACCCACGCCTTCACAAGATACAACAAAACAACAAAAAATTACATACATCTATATATATA